TTTTTTAACCTTAAACCGCATAAACACATTTAATTACACCAAATACACAAAATAATGTTCTTTTTAGCAACATCATATGACCCCTTTAAGTTATCAAACTTTGCCTTCAGCCAAAACTTTTTGCTCTGGAACAAATAATAGATTAATGAGCCCAAAGACTGCCCATTAGATATACCCAAGACAAATGTATCTTATGTTTAACCACTATAGAGACATCAGAGCCAGTGGCAAATTGCAGAAGAACTGGCATAGGTAAGGCTGTTCTCAGCGGGTTCGTGGGTGCAGAAAGGGTTCATGGAGCTCACATCTCCTTAAAAGTTGAAACCAATTTTCTAATAGGCATTATTCTTTATTTACAAACTGCATATTTGAAGTCTAAACAAGTACATTCTTGTCTAAAAATCTCTTAAACTACATTCCGTGATAAAACAACAGAAGTAGTTGTAAAATTATAGTGGGTTTGGTCGTTCGCCATCATATAATCGCTGTGAGAAATGCTGTAAGCGGAGTGATACAAACAGTGAAACGGTTCTGTGGTGATACTGGTAGAACACCTCATGGCTGAAAAGACCTCTAAGCCAATCAGATTCAAGGACCAGAAAGAACTGTTGTATAAATTGTAATATCACCCAGCCCTAAAACTTATTAAAGCATTATGACTTTCTTTAAAGCTGCTTGGAAACTTTAAGAAGCGAATATTTTTATTTGCTCAGCTAGCTCATTGATCAAATCTGTGAAAAAGAAAAGCTTAATAGATTACACACACTGAAAAAAATGTTAGGGCAAGTTATTTATTTTTCACTGGCTCAAGTTAAAAAATATAGATTTGAATCATTACCCTAAATTTTTTTAATTGGATGAATGAAACATTTTTTTCAGTGCACATTTCACTTTGCACCACCTTTCTCTGGCTGGCATGAGGATATTATTGGTTAGTCATAGAAATCGTATCACTACTTTGTGATAAGTGAGTCTTTGCAGTTTTTGTGTACTTTCAGATGTTGTCTTACCACTGCTTTAGAGTATTTAAATGTAGACATACTGTATTAAATGTCACCCATTTTACCCACTAGTATTTATTATTAGAGTCAGGGAAAGCCACCAATGAGTAGCCATATTCTTAAGTCATGTCCCACACTTCTACATAACATTTATAAACAATATTTCAATTGAACTGAACAAAAAGGTAGCTCACCTCTGGAAAGCATGACAGAAATGGTTTAATATAGATGTTGGAGTCATGGACTTTGAGGTCATGGTCTCCTAAACCACGTGTCACTCCTATGGTGGCCATCACTCGTGCCTGTGAGTGAGAAATAATAATTTTAAAAAATCATAATAATTAATAATATATATATTTTTTCAAATCAGCACAAGCACAAAGTATCAAAAATAACTACAAAATCACAAGCCTAATAAAGTACATAGGACTATACCCTGAAAAAATAGACTTATATTTTACATCTTATATTCAAGTCTGCATAAATGAGATTTTGGCAAGGTATTGTAGACAGTGCGATATACCTAATCCTGCCCCCGTCCATCAAAATATGAATCAAATATTTAATCAAACTTTTACCAAAATTAACAGCAACAAGTATTTATTTAATTAAAAGAATTGTCCTTTCACCCCATTACAGTGCCCTGAGCCTTACACTTTAATTTGATAAGTTGATTTACCCATGTTTTAATATGCTTCGGGTCTTTTAGACTGATTACAATACTTTTTAGGTCAGGAAGAATATGCAATCTCTCACCAAGTATGTTTGTATCAGTATTTGATTTGCTATGACTGATATTTGTCATAAATGCCTTATTAAAAATGCTGCAATAAAAACAAAACACAAAAGGCAACTTTCTATTTCTGACGCTTGTCACAAAGAAGAAATTCAGTCAAGCACCATTTATGATTTTTAAGAGCTGTTCAGGTTTATTTTTTACACTATGATTATCAAACAATATCAAATACAAGAGTTCAGAGAAAAAGAGCCAGGTCCAGGTCTGCTATTCACTATCGCTTAGCAAAATAGTATTTTCGTATGTGCCACTATGTAATAGTTTTAGAGAACAGCACACATCTCTGGGCACGCTAGAGGCTGTGGTCTTTAGGGTCCTTGTTAGCATACCAGTCTCTCATGCTGGAAACGCTGGTTCAAATCCCTCTTGCAGCGGGTCGAGGAGAACCGGAGGGGTTACATTGGTGCTGTGACCTAGATGGGAGTAAGGTTTAGGGAGTTGACTGCAACGGAGGCCAGCTAGTAAGAGCTGTGCAGGTAAACCTCACTCCCCTGGCCTCAGGAGGCACACTAGTGACTGACACTAGAGCAGGGGTGTCCAAACTTGTTCCTGAAGGGCAACTGTACTGCAGAGTTTAGCTCCGATACTAATTAAACACACCTGAACTAGCTAATCAATTTCTTCAGACTCACTAAAAACTTTAAGGCAAGAGTGTTGTGTCTTTAAGACAACTTGATGGCTGCTTTGTCAATTCTTCGTAATCAGTTAGGAACCTAGGTGTGCTATTTGATAGCAATCTTTCCTTCGAAAACCACGTTTTTAGCATTTGTAAAACCAAATTTTTTCCGTCACAAAAAAAAAATAAAAAAAAATAATCTAAATTACGACCTATGCTCTCAATGGCAAATGTAGAAAAGTTAATTCATGCGTTCATGACCTCAAGGTTAGATTATTGTAATGCTCTATTGGGTGGTTGCTCTGTGTGCTTAATAAACAAACTCCAGCTGGTTCAAAATGCAGCAGCTAGAGCCAAGAAGTATGACCATATTAGCCCGGTTCTGTCAACACTGAACTGGCTCCCTATTAAACATTGCATACATTTTAAAATCTTGCTAATTACCTATAAAGCCCTGAGTGGTTTAGCACCTCAGTATTTGAGCAAGCTCTTATTGCAGTATAGTCCTTCACGTCTGCCACAATCTCAAAAATCTGGCCATTTGATAAAACCTAGAATATCAAAATCAAGTGCGGGCGGCAGATCCTTTTCCTATTTAGCACCCAAACTCTGGAACTAATTACCTAACACTGTTCGGGAGGCAGACACACTCTGTCAGTTTAAATCTAGATTAAAACACATCTCTTTAACCTGGCTTACACATAACACACTAACACATTTCTATTATTTAAAACTGTTAAAGAATTGTTAGGCTGTATTAATTAGGTCAGCCGGAACCAGGAACACCTCCCATAACACACAATGTACTTGTTACATCATTAGAAGAATGGCATCTACACTAATATTAGTCTGTTTCTTTCTTATTCCAAGGTCACCGTAGTCACCAGATCCAGACTGTATCCAGATCAGATGGTCTCTGCAGCCACCCGGACCAAGCTGTATCCAGACCAGATGGTGGATCAGCACCTAGGGACGCCCTCAACCGCCCTGAATGTCAGCGGAGACCATGTCAACAAGATGAGCCCCAGAGACAGTTCCCTCCGAAGACCTCATCACCTAGACGGCCATCGGGACAAGACCACAGTTACCAGATGAGTCCTCTGCACAATCTGACTTTGTTGCAGCCTAGAATTAAACTGCTGGTTTCATCTGCCCAGAGGCTGTGGTTTTTAGTGTCCTTGTTAGCACGGCCGCCTCCCATTTGGGAAAATAGTATGGGCATGGGCACATGACTAAAAGCGTTAATCCTATTCGCAGTGCGATGGAAAAAAGATTAGAATTCCTCTCTGCAAAAAACATTCCATAAAACATCTGTTTCTGTTTGCCAGATATTTCAAAACAGCAGTACTGTTGGACCAAAATATTGAACTTTATATTTCAATTTAAAGTTCTGTTTTCAATATAACAATGAATGATAATAAGCAAAAACACATTCAAACCACATTAGAAATAAAAAAAATATAAAATTTATATAAACATTTAAATAAAAGCTACCCTAAAGAAATAAGTTTTAAGGCGAGATTTAAAAATGTTAAAAGAATTTGCCTGCCTTATTTCAGTAGGAAGAGATTTCCGGAGCTAAAGAAGAAAAAGCCCTATCCCCCATCGATCTTAGGCAGGTAGATGGAACAATTAACAATCCAGTGTCAGAAGAATGATGGTTCCGCCTTGGGGTATATGGAGTTAAAAGCTCTGACAGATATTGCGGTGTCAAAACATGCAGAGCCTTGTAAGTGAGCATCAGAATTTTAAAATCAACCCTAAACCTAACAGGAAGCCAATGCAAAGACTCCAAGATAGGAGTGACATGATCCCTTATCCTTGTTTTAGTTAGGATTCTGGCAGCAGAGTTTTGCACGACCTGTAATTTGTTTAGGGTAGCTTTTGAAACCCGGGGTTTCAAAATTCAATTCGGGGTTCAATTCGAGAGAAAACAAAGGTGTCTATCAACTTCTCAGCAACAGGGAAAGACAACATTGGACATAATCTGGCAATATTTCTGGTGTGTTTTGAGTTTGAGCTCCGTCAAGTTAATTATTTATCGTCTATTTCTTATCTTAAAATCAATTTTATACACCATCATTTTCGTTTATATAACGTGTGAATATATCCCCAATCGTAAAGGAGATGAGATGGAATAGGATCAAGCGGATGATTGGTAGTAGGATGATTGGAAAGGATGAGTTTAGAGACTTCTGCCTCAGAGAGTGGAGAGAAGGATGAACTCTTCGGTCTTCACACGAGGGCTGCCGTGGTATACTAAGCTTTTTATAGCTAAGCTGAACTGAATTCAGCTGTACACACTTTCCTGTTTATCACAACAAATGGCCAAGCAAAGCACACGACACTGACAAGGTACGCGATACCTCATAATCTAGTACTGCAGTTATATCTGATCAAATGCGCATTATTATTCTTTAGCTTGGGTTAAACAAATCAATTTTGCTTGGTTGGAACAGCAGCTACGCTAATTATGCATCTATTTGTTTCTCCGTTTTTGCCACGAGATTGACATCCCGTGGTAACTAGGATTTACACAAGCTTCAGTCTGGATCCAGAACACCTGAGAAGAGATGATGCCAACCCCTCAGAGGACCTCAGATGATGCCAACCATGAAACAACATACAGAACTACCAAATATTGCTATAAGTTTGATTGCATCATATAATAATTGCTGTTAATAGTGTTTATCGTCTGTTTGATTACGTCTTTAATTGATTTTCCCATACATTTCTGCCATATGTACATTAACTGACAGTCACCACTGATAAGCTATACTACTAAATATTGTAGAAACCTAATTTGCTCTAAAGTTGCTTTGCAACGATTTGTATCGTGAAAAGCGCTATACAAATAAACTTGAATTTAATTGAATTTAATATTTCTAAGATGAAAGAAAGATGTTTTAACAATATTCAGAACATGAGGCTCAAATGCTAAATTTGAATCAAATATTACCCCTAGATTTTTCAATTTTGTCCGAGATTCCATAATAGAATCATCAACAATTAAAGAAACCGTTCCAGGTTTACGAAACTGGTGGGGTGAACCAATGAGCATAATCTCAGTCTTTTCACTGCTGAGATAAATAAAATTTTGCGACATCTATTCCTTTATCTTAAAAATGCATTGAGAAAGAAAATCCACAGGCACAGTATCATCAGGTTTTGAGTGTATATAAATTTGAGTGTCATCTGCATAGAAATTAAATTTTAGACCAAGAGATCTTAAAAGTTGACCAAGTGGGAAAATGTAGATATTAAAAAGCAAGGGGCCCAAAACTGACCCTTGAGGGACTCCAGATTTCACAACACCAACCTCTGACCCAAATCCACCCATTGTAACAAACTGCTTACCAGTGCACCAGTACACAACGAATAATTTATAATACTCAAGACAACAGGACACAAACAACCAAAACATGATTGAAACAAACTAGTGGGTATGGGATTAAGTAAGGAAGTGGCTGCTTTCAATTGAGAAACCTCCTTTTGAAGGGAATATGAGTCAAGTGTGCAAAAATTTGAAAAAGTAATTCCAGTATAAAATGGAGTATTTACCGAAGAAAAGCACAATAGGGTAGAGGTACAGACACAGTTACGTACATTATCAATCTTAGTGCCAAAAAAAATCAAGAAACTACGGTGGACGAGAAGTGCAAAACAAATCACAATTCTGAAAACAAAATAACAAATTACAAACGCAAATGCAAGTCTAAAAAACTAAATAACTATTCAGAAAGCACAACAACAATTCAGAAAACATTATAACAAGTCAGAAAACACAATGACAAATCCGAAAACAAATTAACAAGTCAGAAAACACAACGACAAATCAGACAAACCGGAAGAGGTAGGTATAGTTTGAGACAGCGCCATTGGTTTGGGAT